ATAGAGAACCATGCAAGGAAACTCATTTATGCTGTGACCTCCTTTAAAATTGTGTTTTTTTTTTTAGTTTAATATTTCAATATTATTCAATATTTCAATTATTTATTTTTTTTTTAATTTTTATATTAACAAAAAATAAAATTTTTATATTATTTTATTATATTTTTTTTTTATATTATTAGTGTTTGCATTTATGCACGAGTGTTGTAATTTTTATTTTAGTTTTAACAAAATTGTGTGTGTGAATTTTTTGTTTTTATGTATAAGTATAGAGTGACAATATTTTTTATAAATAAATATATTATATATTGTTTTTTTTTTTTGCAAATTTGTTTTTGTTTTTTGTATATATATTTTTGTAAATTTTACAAAATAAGTTGTACAAAAATATTGTAGAGTAAGAGAAAAATGTAAAAAGAGAGAAGCAGAAAAAAGTTGTATATTAATTAAAAATGCATAAAAATATAAGATATAGAAGCAAAATCAATAATTAAAAAAAATTAGTAATATAAATATATTCATATATAAAGAACGTATTTTCAAAAAATAATTGATTTGACTTTTTGAACTGATTTTAACTTATTGAAAGCTACAAGACACAAGAATTAATCTCTTACAAAATTGGTTAACACAATATGTGCGTATCTGCTAAAAATACAAGTATTATTTACCATTTGTGTATAAATAATATACGATTTGTGCTATTAACTAATTTAATACATATACTTATTGTGCAATATTTAAATGTGATTTCAAAAAAAATCAAACACAAATTAAGCTAACAAAAAATAATATTATTTACTCACAATTAATACAAACTATATATCAATACTAAAATATACACGGAAAAATTAAAATACAAATAAATAAATAACACATAAACATATATATGTAAGATAAATATTATGATTAATAATAATTTAACACAAATTGATGTATAACACGTAAAGCTTAAAATAAAAGAGCTTATAAAAATTATCAAAAAAAAAAATTAAAATATTTTAATTATAAAATTTATACATACAATAAATAAGAATTACAAAAAAAAAATAATTTAATAATATTAAAAAAAAATGTAAGTGTTTAGAGTACATAAATGATAGGGCATTAAAAAACAAAATTATTTAAAGAATATTTTTAAATATTTTAAATAAATTTTTAACAGTATTAACAAATAATCATACATATTATTATACATATTATATCATAAAAATTATAGAAATCAATTATAAACTACTTGAAATAGTTTTATGTGAGTGTAATTAATGAGTGTGCATATGTTTAATGAATGCAAATTATTATAGAAAGTTAGAAGAGAGAAAGAATATTAAAATAAAATTAATATAATTTAAAAAAATAAAAAAAAAAAATTTAAATATTCTATTATATTTAAACTTATTGTTTTGAAACTTAAACCACTAATCACATTCTACAGTAGAAAGAACACAGTTTTGTGCTCTCAGTAAAGCAGGACCCTATGACCACAGCAAATCATAACCATAACCTAACCTAAGCGTAAAACAGAGCTTAGATTAAAATTTGTAAAAGAGTAACTTATCATAAGTTTATTGAATTGAATTGATTGATTATAAAAAATATACTTTCATTATAATAATGACCATATAGATACGATCAATATTGAAATTATTCTTTGCTATAAAATGGTACTTAGTTTAATTATTGTACTTCAGGAACTGCATATCTCTAATTAACTGATTTTTTTAAGTTCAAGATTATGTTAAGCTTAAGAGATTATTTATATTTATAAAATTAAAGATCGATCTTGTTAAAAAATTACACAAATCATAATCTTCCATAATATTATATAAATACAGTGCATCTGTATTAGTCCAATTTATAGTAGACGAATTTGAAAGTTCATCGGATTATTCAATGATAAGTGTTAGAACTGTATTCTAACACTACAATAGACTTTATAGTCTACTATAGTCTTTTCTCTCTTTAAGATTAAGATTTTTAATTTACAAATTTATACACTGTGGTATGTACCGGAAATTAATTTTCCAAAATTGTTTTCCAGAAAGTAAGCCAGTGGTCTTAGATCCTTCGATAAATAATAAAATTATTTATTCGCTGTGAAACGCGTGCTTGAAATTGACGGGTAAGCGGTAAATAGTTCTTCCTTCTTTCCTTCCTACATTTTACAATGTTACTAGCAAATCGAAATAATTAAGAACGCCCACTATTTTCTTTTTCGGTACATTAAGATCTGGTGATGCTACTTTTTTACAGGTCTTTTGAATACTCATATTTATAACACATAACGTCGGAAGGTAAGTGCTATAAATTCCGTACTGTTTTTATAGCATTAGGTACATTCGAACCCATTGTTAATTATTGATTGTTATTATTTTTATTATTGTTTTGGAAGAGTGTAGGAGATTATGTTTCATGAGTAGCCACGTCGCTTCTTATTTTTTGCATACCTAACTTTTATAAAATTCGTAAGAAGACCGAAGAAAATTCTTTATGCAAAATTATCTTTCTGTATGAAAGTCTATTAGAAAGTATGGGTGTTTCTATACTTCTGTTTAAAACTTCTATTTTAAGTATGATTAAGTATATATAAAAATATTAATACATCAATTTTATATCACCTATTTCAAAACTAATTATCAAAAAATATATCAGAGAAACGAAGAAACATTTTTATGCAAAATTGGTACATGACATGAAAGCCTATCAGCGTCTTTATGGATAATCTGTTCAAATTTTGATTTATCTATTGCAAAAAATTTTAGATTATTAAAAATAAAACTAATCAATAATTCTTTTCATAAATAGTTCACAAATTTTCTACAAAGTATACTATCTTAACATATATTTTTACTAATTGCAAATAACTCTAAACGTACTTGCAATCTTTTAAAATGAGAAAAGGTAAAATCTTGTTATAATTCCGAATTTCTCGGTTTGTCAAATTGATATCAGATTTTAGTTAAGTCAGTTTTTTTGAGCAAATTTTCCACAACCCAATATAGTAATATTGGCTTACTCTTCGAGATATGAACATTCAAACTGGTTTAATAGTTAATCATCTAGTGGCAATTTTTTACTTTGGATGTATAGAGTTACAAAAAATAGGCGTGATAGTTGGTAATATCTCGAAAGTTAAGCTATATTGACATATTGATTAGTTTTGGTTATGTGGGCTAACTGCAAACTACGTATGACCAATTGTTTTCTAGCAATACCAAATGGAGTTAAATCTTTAGGTAGTTTATTGTAGATTTTGAGGACTTTCACATTTAAGGAGACCAAGTACTTTTTAAAATATTTTTTTCAAAACATATTTTCCATTCAGACCCTGCGTGCCGTAGTTCTAGTCCATAGGTATTGCACGACAACATGGCACTGATATTGACATATAGCGTAGTGGGAAAAGTTGCTCATAAAAGCTTTCTTTACTAAACTTTGTTTTCAAGTGAGTTTTCTAGAGAAACCGGAACCGCGTCTAAATTTTTGCCACACTAGATATATCAAATAAAAGATAACTATATATAATATAAAGAATTTCTAAAAAATAGATTTAAAAAATAAAACCATACAGAAACTCAAAACAAAAATTTAATATTTTATAATTAATGAACAAAAAATATTAGAAAAAATATGTTATAGATAGAGAGTAGAAAGAGAGAGAGAGAGAAAAAAAGAGATATAATAAACAAGGTAGAAATTAAATATATCCGGGACAAACAAAAATAATCCACAACCAATTTTTTGTATTTCTTGAAAACAAAAAATTATTTTTTTTTTCAAAGAAATTTCTATATTTATTTGTAAACAAAAACCAGAGACAAATTTTGACACATTTCACAAATTAAAAAATTATATTATCGAAATGTACACGTACTTTATATTGTTTTTGTTTTAACATAAATTTTGGATTTACACAAAATGAAGTAAAAAATTAAACCAAAATTAAACCAAAATTAAACCAAAACTGGACCAAAACCAAAATGAAGATGTGTTAAAAAAATTAAAACAAATACAAAATTGTTATTTTCATGTGTAAAATTGTTAATAAAATTGTATTTTTATTGGATTGGTTTTTCGTACTTAAAATTTATGTAAATATAATTTTTATTTAAATTTAATGGCAGCCATATATATATATTTATATATTATAGTGCTAAATTATTATATGTAAAATTACAATAAAAATATTATTGTTTTAATATTGTTAAAGTTAGTTGAAAATAAAAACAATATTATTATTATAAGGAAAAAATTATACATATGTAGTTAAAATAATTAAAATCTTTTATTTTATAAACTAAATTTGAAGGTTATATATATATATATATATAAATATATATATCAATTATTAATAATTGTTTATTTGTTTTTATTTTTTAATTTGATTTTAGGAATTTGGCATGCATGGGTTTATAATAAATTTTTTTAATTGAACTGTACAAAATGAGACCTATGATGAGGTCTCATTTCCTGTAGACATTGTGTTAAAGAACCGCCACCGATTTAGCAACAAATAAAATAATTAATTTACAAAATAAATTTTATTTTACAACGAACATTTTTTGTTCTATTTGTTAATAGTATTTACAAAAATGCGATATAAATTTAATTAATCAAAAATTAATCAAAAATTAATTAAAAATTAAAGTGTTAAAAACATATGAAACAAAGTTTATAAATAAGTAAAATCAGTGATGGCGAATTATATTTTTTTTGTAGAATTTTTGATTTTGTTTAGATTCATTTGTTGTTGTAGTAATTTTGATATCATGCCCAATTAAAAAATTTTTAGTCATTTTAATAAAATTATAAATTTGTTCTTTTACATATTTTAAAAGTATGCTATTAATTTCGATGTTCCGTTGTTTTTTTGGTATTATATTTTCTTTTTTGCAATTTTTATTAATTTAAAAATTTCGCTTAATTAGATCTTCTATAAAAATTATTGTATCTTCGTTTTCTTAAATTGTTAGATCCTTCATTTAATCTAGGATACTCACGCTTGACGAACAAATCTACATATGATGGTTGAGAAATGTGACCAGCGGTCGAGTAAGATTCACATATGTAACGTCCTTCGTCTTCCAAACGTACATTACGCAAGAATAGTACTTGATTACGTATGGAAGAACTTGGCAATTGGCGACCATCTTCACGGCGCCATTCATACTAAAAATAAATAAACAAAATTGATAAATATTTAAATAAATCAAAATTTTTAATAAAGAAAACACAATAACATATAATGTGTAAATATATCATGCTATATGTATATCATGCTTCCACTGCTTACTTATTACTATAAGTTACTTAAGTAACTTTAAGATTTTGTCGTTTCCGTTGACATAAGTTACTTATTGCATGGGGAAGAACACTTATGTGTCAGAAAGTTCGTTGAAAGTTTTAAGAGAGCTTCTGTTTGTATAGAAAAATTACACTCAATGATACAATGACACACACAATAAATTGTATATATAATTGATAAATTAGGGCCGTGTGCGAATTCAAGTAAACTGAGGTAAAGTAAATTGAAATTCCCTAGGGATTTTTTTGCACTGCACTTATGTAAATATTTAATTATTTATTTATTGCACTTATTTATTACTTTTGGTTAAAAGTTTTGAAATTTATTTATTTATTTATTAAACATCTTATTAAATTTTTACAATAGTAACACCAATAGTAACAAATACCAAGACTCGCTGCCATACCGACATAATTTACTATTTCCCTCAATTTAACATTAATTTTACTATAAAGGATGGTATTTAGCGATTTTTCATGCTTTAGTGGATTTCAGGTATGTGGATTAATATTTTTCACTCTATTTTAAATTAATAACAGTTACAGTTTTTATTCTCCATATCTAAATTTAAAAATTTGCATTGCTTTGAAAATATTATTCCGGTTTTATTAAACATAGCTGATTTTATTTCTTTTTCGTTATCTCAATTTATCTTATACATAAAATTTATCTTACGCATAGTTACATTTGAAATTTCACTTAATTTCAGTCTTCGTTTCAACGAAATTAAGGTGATTTTCCTTAATTAAGTTCTAAATTGTATTGAAAAAACAACTTAATTTCGCTGAAACAAAGACGAAATTAAGGTGTGTCTGAACAGAGTATAAATGAGCTGATTTAGTGATAAAAAGTTCATTTAGATGAACGCACTTTTTATGGTAAATAATTATCGTTAGTGGCTATAATGAGCAAAACTGCCTAAATGAGACTGTGTGAATTTCTATTTGTTTCTAATCATTTATTTTTAAGTAAGTTAAAAAGCATGGATGCTCTTTGTAAGGTTAATGAAATTTACTCAGTAAGTCATACTTACTAAGTACGCAGTGGAAACATACTCTTAAAAATTTTAATGTTTTAATTAAATTTTTTAATTTCGGTTCAATAAATTTAATTTTATTTGCTATATTCATTTTTACTGTAATAACTTACTCTGACTTCACCACGGCTTGGATCATATTCGGGTGTAGCCTCACAGGTGAGAGTAACATCATTGCCTTCATTAACATAATGACTACGAACTTGTGGTTGTTCTTCGTAGGGGCCTCTGTTGACAACTACTTCAGCCATGTTGGTGGTGTTGCCATAACGATTAGATGCAGAACAGTAATAACGACCAGCATCAGCAGGTGTGATTGAAATAAAGTTCAGGTATTGTCCTTCGATACGTACCGAACTATAAAAATATGTTGATTTATTATTAAATAAAAAAAAAAATTTAATTCTAAAAAATGAAAAAATAAAGCATTTATATAACAATAACAATTAATTGTAACTTTGTTAAATGTTTGACCAATGATTGCTTTATCATTGTAGATTAAAAAAAAATCAACTTACGGTGGCAGTGGGCGATTATTATCAGTGTGCCAAGCAACGTCAATAGGTTGTTCACCAGTAACTTGGCAGTATATGTTGACGTTATCATTTGGATTGACAGTCAATGGAACTTTGGGATGGAAAGTAATATGTGGTAATGGCACCAAAACCAATTCAGCTACGACAAATGCAACAATAGTACCACGATTGTCGAAACCATTGCAACGATATTTGCCACTATTTTGATCTTCAATACGTGTAATAATTAAACTGTTACGATCGAGATAGGAATTACTTGGTAATGGGCGGCCATCTAGACGTTCCCAACGAGTTTGCATGTTTGGCATGTTTCCTAAAAATATAAATAAGTGTGTATAATAAATATAAAATTCATATATGTAATGAGATTTTTAAACATTTTTGATTTACGTTTCACATTTTTTTTTTAAATAATGCTATATAGTTTACAATTACTTACCTAAACTACAAGTTAAAGTAACAGAATCGCCAGATTTGGCATGATAAACGTTTTCAGGAGATGTATAATCTGGACGTGCTGGTTCATAAGGTGAACGATCAACATCACTATCATCTAGAAATACAAAATAAATTTATAAATAAAATAAAATAAAAATTTTTTTTATAACTTATAATATGAATCAATATAATAATGTATTAATATGATAAGAAGAGAGTTGCAGTAAAGCTAAAATTAATTTTTTTTAATATAACTTATAAGTACCATTTGTATATATGGTACTCGTATATTAAAATTGAAAAATTAATTTTAATGATTATATTTTTTTATTCGTTTTCAACGATTATTTTATTTATTTATTGTTTGTATATTAAGAGAAGAATTTTTTATATAGGGAGATAATAATAATTTTTGATGTAAAATAGTTCAAAAAATAATTTTATTCAAAATAAATAAAAATACTTTACCTATAATAGATTTATAAGGGTTTGCACAGATTTTGTTCACTTTAGTTATACTAAGAGTTTCTTTTGTAAATATCGGTGTATTGTATTTTTTCTTGATGTAAGCTATATTTTATTGTATATGTCTATATGACTTAATGACTATATGTCTCAGTATATATATGTCTATATATGTATATATACTATATATATGCTATATGTTTTTATTTTAAGTAGAGTTTAATATAGGAAGAGTAGTGTCAAAGCAGACACTGTTTTGGTATGAAGATTAATCAGCCTTTATCAATAATGAACCTTACTAATGTTGTTCCGTTGCAATAGGTGTCAATATATTCATGAACAAACAAATAGAGTGACAAATGCAGTGTGGAAGAAAGTGTCTAATGAGTGTGGCAACATTAGAATATGAATATGCAATTAGTAAATTATTTCGTTTTATTATTATTTATTATATTTATTTCGTTTAAAATTCACTGAAGTCGTCTTCAGACTTCAGTTTGTTGCTCTAAACCAAATAGTTCAATATTAACTTCAAATTGTTTTCAAAAGACGGAGTATATATGTTTCAACACTTCTACAAATATAATTATTCTTTTTGTATATATGACAAGCAAGGAGAAGTTGCTTCACAATATTAGTTAATTTTTTAACCTACTAAAATTCACCTCCAGAATTAAATAAAAAAGCCTATGAGGTCTAAGAGACTTATAAGTTTAATTGGGTTTGAGATTTGAAATAAAGAGGCTTAGAAGTTTAAGAAAAAAGACTTAGAAGTCTAGATTAATCTAAACTAGAAAGCATGGGCGTAGGGCAGAGAAAAGTAAGGCAGGTGAATGACTTGTGAAATATTAGATGATTTATGATCTTAGAAACCTCTTGTTTTATTTTCCCTGTTAATTTAAAACCTGCATATGCCTTTAATCAGCTGTTATAATGAGTTGTTGTCTTATATATTGTAATATATTATAATATAATATATATAATATAATAAATTATCTCTATAATTTGAATTATATAAAATATTGAGTTAAATAGCTTTTTGTGTTATAAATTTAAATTAGTTCCTTTTAACTTTTGTTTATGTATCAAACAATCCCTAAAAGTAAGTATAAAACTCTATTATAATCATATATATGAAAAATTCTTTGAACTAATTAAGTTGAGTTAATTAGCTAAGAAACGTATCAACTTGTCTATTTCATTTTGATGGATTCCAAATAATACGTGAAGAATGACTTATGTTAGCCAATGAGAAGATATATTTATAAAACGATTGACCCTGAAACACTTCTCTGCTCTGGCTATTTTACTTGCTTAGTCAGTTATAAAAGATGAATCAGTATATTTTTAGACTCTGAGACAATATGATAGGATTTCACTTTGCAAGAAATATAATATATATTTTAAATTTAAATTCGTTTCTAATTCATTTTTCAGCACTTTGCAACTTTTATAAACATATTTATAATTTAAAATCGTCTAATGAATTTAAAACTTACCTGGTGCATCACCACGTCTAGGTTTAACATCAATTGTAATATATCTTTCATCAGTACCGGCTTCATTGGTTGCAATACATTTGTAGGTCTTAGCATCGAGTTTAGATGCGCGATAAATTTCAAGATAGGCTTGATTATAATGTTCAGCTGCAGTTCTTAAATTAAATTCGGGAGTATCAGCAGATACCCATTGTATACTTGGATTGGGGAAACCACTAGCTGAGCAGACAACTTTAACTTCATCACCCTCGGTAACGGTCAATAGATTATCACTTGGCTCTATCATAATAACTGGCGCTTCAATAACACGAATCGTAGAAATTCCGGTAGTTTTTCCGGCTAAATTTTCAGCAAGACATTCATAATCACCGGCATCAGCAATTTGTATATCCTCAATACTATAGTAAATAATATATTTAATTATTTTTGGAAACAACAAAAATTTTCTTTTAATTTACATAATATAACCGGGACTATTTTCTTTATGACGTGGTGATAGTGGTTTGCCATCAACGCGACGCCATATAACTGTTGGCTCTGGTATGCCGTTTGCTTGGCAATAGAGCAAACCTTGAGCACCGACATAAACAGATTGTTGTTCATCTGGATGAATATCGACGGTTGGACGTTCACGTGCTGCAATCAAGTAAATTATTGTTGTTGAACAAATTAGTATAAGTAGTAAGTTGTTTGGAACGTTCTTATTACCAACTCCTTTCTTGAAAACTTATTTATTTTGCAATTAATTAATTTACATTTATTAATAAAATTTATAATTTTTTTATTAAATACCGAAAATATTTGAAGCATGGCAAAAGAGAGCAGAAAATAGATAATATTGTTTTAAAACTTGTTTAATGGAATGGCATATATATAAAATATATAACTATTTACTAAATTCAAAGAAGATATAAAAAACTAAAAACTTTTCTAACATTTTGAAAACTGAATCGAACTCATTTATTAACATTACGATATTTTATATACAATGTTAATATAGTATATTTCACATTAATACAATAAATGTCATGGATGTCAAATACTAGGTGGACTGATAATTACCCGACATCACAACAGCTGTCAACGCCAGAATAAAACCAATTATATTGAAAAACCAATTGTATTTCTGACAGTTGTAAAAGTTCCGACTTTATCAGATATTTGTTTAGCTTTTTGCAAATAATTGAAATAGTGCATCTTGGTGATTTTTTATAAAATGGAAAGAATTGAATATCGTTCAGTAATAAAATTCCTCCGTTTGAAAGAAATGAACAATGATGCCATCAAATTGGAAATAAATTCTGTTTAAGGCAACCTTGCACCATTGTTAACAACAATAAAATATTGGAAATATTGAATTTAAACATAGTCGTACGAGTGTTTTTTCTGTTGAACGTCCGGATCGTCTAGAAGAGGTGACAACTGAAAAAACATTGAAGAAATCCTTGATATTGTGTTGGATGATCCAAAAATTAAATTACTTGAGACAGCAGAGATGACAAACATATATGATGATGACCCTGTATCGAATATTTTACATAAGTACTTGGATATGAAAAAGGTTTCAGCAAGATGTGGACCCTGTTTGCTCAAAATTGATCAACAACAAGTTACAGAATGGACTCGTATCACCTGTTTTCACACTTGAAAAGATGGCTTCATAGAAAGAGATTTGCATCAAGTGATGAATTGGAATGGGAAACTGAAGTATATTTTAGAAGATTTGATAAATCGAATTATTTAAAACTTATCTAAATGTTAAAAGACCATTGGACTCAGTGCGTCGAGCTTTAAGGGAAACTATATTGAAGCGTAAAATATAATTTTTTTTAACAATCCATCTAGTACATACATTTACATACATATGTGTTTATCTTAGTAATTAACTAACTGTCACTACCCTTTCTTTTCAAAATAAACTCAAATAGTAATTGGTCTTATATCAATAAATTAAACTTACGTTCGACATCGATAATTGTATTGGCTTGATCAGTGCCAACAGAATTTTCAGCAATGCAAAGATACATGCCACGATTTTCTGAACGAGCATTTATGATACGTAGAACATTACCAGTTTGATGCACGTTATCTGCCATAGGTTCATGTACCTGTTTATATATAATATGAACACGTAAATAAAATATTTATTATATTAACATTGAAATCATTATTTCACCTTTGTCCACTTTATGTTGGGATATGGTGTGCCAGTAGCTTCGCAGGTAATTGTGAAATCTTGTCCTTGTATAACATTATTTTCCTCCTTCATACGTCTAATAGTTGGAACAGCGCTATAATTCAAAATTATATTTTAATTTATTTCATCAAAATTCTATGAACAAATGAATCAAACTTACGTGCCAGGTTGTGGACCTGGTGGTTGATAAGGTTCTCTTTGCTCAACTGCAACTCGAGCTTCAGATGTATAATTGCGATGGCCTCGTTGATCGATGCCAATACAAGTGTAAACACCTGAATCACGTGGTGACGCTTCACGTATTTCGAGTTGATTGCCACTTAAAACAACATTTTGTTGACGATAAATTGGATATCCATCCTTATTCCATTGATAAACTAAAGTTATTGGTGTTGTAGGTTGACATGTTAAGCGTATAGTTTGTCCTGGTTCACCCGACCAAGATGGTGGCTCAATATAAATGAATTCACGTATTGGTGGTTGCGGCTGTAATGGGCTTTCCTCTACATTGACTACAGTATATCTTTCGTCAGTACCAATATCATTGTTGGCTTGGCAACGGTAGTGTCCGCTATCAGAAGTACGTGGTGCATCGAAGATTAAACGTGTTCCGTCGGTGTGAGCATCACGCGACATCTGACCATCAACACGTGTCCAGCTTACAGAAGGTGTAGGATTTCCAGTTACTTCACAATTGATTTCATTAGGCTGATATTCTTCAAAAGTAACTTGACTTGGTAGTTCAACTATGCGTGCTGGTGTACGTTGTGAACTCTCTGTTACAAAAAATTAATATTGAAAAAAAAATAAAAATTTATATCGTTAGACGTAAAAATATTACATATCTATATAATTAATATATAATATAAATAAATATAAATAAAGCATTAAAATTCCTACCGTATCTTGCCAACATTTCTGCGGCATATCCTTAATATTTTTTGACGGCATTTTAAAGTATTTGTTATATTATATACATAAAAAATATATATTATTCAAACTATACTCACCAGTTATGGTTATAGATACTTGATCTTCAAAGACCTTTTGTGTCTTATTATTAACTGCTTGACATATGTATATACCAGAATCATAGACTTGCAAGTTATACAAACGCAAAATGCCACGATCTTCTTCATGGCTAAACGGCATTTGTCCACGCAATTTATACCAAGATACGACGACAGGACTCTGTGAGTGACATTAATATAATACATTTATAATATTTTGATATAATAACGTTTGAAGTCAACATACTCCGTTCCATGCTAAGTTGCCGGTACATGTCAATGTTATTGAGCCACCAATAGGAATGATCGTTATCTCTGGAGGAGCAATGGATACAGTAATTTCGGTCAAATAATCATAGTCTGGGGTTGTGCGCGGTGTTGTGGTAGTTTCTGGTCTATAGCCATCTGTTAGTGGTTTATGTTTTAAAATAAAAAAATATTAATATGTTATATAAAAATTATTATGGATACATGTATTCACAAAGCTATTTAGAAGATAGTTAGTTACATAAAACAGAAAAGTGTAAAATATACTAGGAGTTCAGTTAATCTATACATGTTAAGATTTGTTCTTTGTATGTAGTAAAAAAATTATATGGTTAAAACTATATATTTATAATAATGTTTGTTTTGTAAATATTAGTAGATAATTTTTTTTTTAATTTTAGTTATAGAAGATATGCTTAATCAATATATATACGGGTGAAGTGTTTCAATCTGAATTTATTTATTGAAAGTTGAAAGTATCCAAAAAAATAGATTTTATTTGGTTTTTATAAAAAACGATTTATCCGACTCAGTAAGACTTTTTTATATGCATATACATATTAAATAAAATATTAATATTTAAATATTTTTTATATTCGAAATATATAATTTTCTGTTAAGCAAAATTTTTTTTATTGGTCTACATTACAAAGATTCGAAATGATTTTAAAGATTTTGAAATCTATTTTTTAGAAATATACACAAAAATATATGTAAGACTTCCTCAGTGAAAATTAATTAAAAATGACAAATAAATTAATAAAAATTAATTTAAATTAAAAAAAAATTTAGTTAAGATTATTTTATCTATCGTTGAAATGTACACAATGCGTCATATATTTTGTAATTATTAAAAAATATTATTATTTTCTAGTCGTGTATATGGGTCATCGGATACCTTTTTGAACTCATCTCCGTTTTTACTGAAATTCATTAAATAAAATACATTTTTTTCCTAGGACATATGGACCCTTGGGGTTTTGACAATTAGTATTGTAAGCACATTTTCAAACAACCATATGTTAGGCTCCATAAATCACAAAAACTTAAAATAATGGTTTCGGCCAAATCGGAGGCGATGAGGTCCATAAAGAAAGATCCAAATAAGCCAAATTCATATATTATATTACATAAAAAAAGGACAGTCAGAAATATTTGTTATTAGAGATTGAAAAAACAAGACTTTTTTTGAAGAAGTATAAAGGTCAGTAAATATTGGGTATGCAGTGCACTCTAGGTTGACCTCAATATAGTTTTTAACCGTTGGAGATATTTATTCAGTGTTGTAGGGATATAATTCTGAAAATTATTAAGGCTTGAAGTGCTTGGACATCCTATCTATAATAATAATATGGTTCATTTGTTCTTCAATTGAAATACTCATATATGTTTGGTTAATGTTAAAAATTAAACATACTTAAAAACAATAAATAATTAGTATATAAGTAGATTGACTAATAAGGAGTTACAAAAAACAAAAACAAAATTAAAGAACTAAAATAAATAATTATAAAAAATTAAATAAATAAATATTACTCTAAAAGCCCAAACACTTAATAATATTATTCCCATTGTATATTGTGTAAAAAATATACAAATTAATATACATATTATTTTATAACTAATTAATGAATTTTGATGAAAATAATTTATTCTGATTCATATGTTAGTATAAACATTATTTAAAAAAAATCAGACAATGAATTAAAATATTAATGCAATATATTTGAATACAAATATAAATTGATTTTTTAGAATAAAAATAAAAATTAATTAACTTATATATAATTGTTAAAATATATTTATATATATATTATAATTTAATATAATTTGAAACAATTGTACAATATTAAAAATATAACTAATAAAGTAACATAAATTAATAATTTATTGATTTATTGATCGTTTTAATTTGAATATTTAAATATTAATTAATTTAAATATGAAAATATTTTATTGTAATTTAATTGACTTATTTTTGGAATGAATAATATTTTTGTTTTTAATTCAACTTGTTTTTATATAAATTTATTTTTTATATTGTACTGTTTCTTACGGTATTAAAATATTTTATATATATATCTGTTTTTTAAACTCAATTAAATTAAAGATTAATATTAGAATTCATCGTCAGTTTTTAATAAATTATTTTTATATTTATTTTAATTGATTAATTATTTTTATGAAATGTATTTAGCCTAATAATAACTAAAAAGTATAAAAATGTTGAAATCAATTTCGAATTATTTTTTCTTGAAACTGTTGCGAGTATCTTGAACAGTTCAGCTCTGTTAAGATAACATTCAATAAATGGTAATAAATGGTAATATATGGTAATAAAATTTTTATAATTTTATTTTTATTTTTTGGTTTGTTTGTAAAACTAGTACTAACAATAGGAAACACATATAAAGGCAATTTTGTTATTAAAAAACTACATTTTTCTAACCCAAATTATTTTGTCCAAAAATTTAAAATTTAAAATTTTTATAATCCAAGTTTAATATTACAAATTCAATGGCTACTCTAAGTACATAATTGTTTTATCGTAAAAATTTGTTACTATTTTCGGTGTTAATCGAACCTGACAACTGGCAGCCGAAATGTAGATGTGTTATATTTCCTATTTTTTTGTTGCCTCTATAAAGATTTACGGTTTCATTGTATGAGATAGTCTCATTTGGTTCTAAATGCAACTGAAACCCATTACAGCAAAATCCTTTGCTTAAGTTGCAATTGGACGATTTAACATAGGACTTATCTGAATTATATGTGAGAAATGAAGAAATTAAGTTTTTGATATAAAATTAGTTATGTTTTGTTTTGTTGAAGCTTAAATTCGTAAATTGTAAAGTGTTTTCAAGATATATGATACTATAGTGTGAAAAATAGTTAAACCATAAATAAAATTTTTAAATTGCATATAATGATGCTAAATTGGGTCATTTATATCAGTTTACAGCTAATTTGTATTTAGGAAAATTAAAAAAATTTTTTTTTTGCATATATAAACCAAGTTAAAACATATTAAATGACCACACTTTGTTTTTCTTGTTAATATTCATATGTGAATATATCAAAGACTTACCCCAATTTTGGCAGCGATCTCCTGAGAAGCCTGACTTGCAATCGCATTTCACATAACCGCTTTCATCCAAACTACAGCCAATCGATGAGTCTTCTTGGCATGAGCAAGCTACACATGAGCCATAATTGTCGCGGTAATATAATGGTGCACAGTTTTCACATGAAATGCCAGTATAGCCATAGGGACATGAGCACACTTCAACTTCGGACGCTACTCTTGCACCTGCCATTGGGCGCTCAACAGCTGTTTCAAGAATAACATCACGTATTGAAGAGCGTGTTGTTGGTATTTTAGGTGTTGCACGTATAAGTATGTGTTCCAAATCAGATAAAACACTCATGAAGTCCAAACGTGAAGAAAGTCTTGCTTCACCATTTTTGAAACTATGCCATTGTTCGTCTTCATGTAAGCGTATATGATAGTCTGCACTATCTTCTTCTTCCTCTGATCTTGACCATACCAATTGTAAGCCATTACCGATTAGAATTACATCATTACCACGTACGTAATTTCCATAAGATTCTACTTGTAAATTGTATGATAATTCACCACCATAAGAGTAGAGTTGATTGCCTAAAATTGAACCACGTAAACTCCAATACTTCTGTGTGTATGATGTGAAGTCGTAGGTATATGTATTAGTTTCGGCATCATGATTCAAGTTATTTCTATCAATAATATCTCCCCGTTCATCGGTTATCAAAGGTTCGTTTACAAAGAAATCAACTGGTATGAGTTGGCGATAAAGTGTGGCTGAACGGCAATCAGTAGTTTTGCCGGAGCAATAGCATTCTTCACAACCATCTCGATTATTTTCAGAAAGTCCATATGTACCTTGACGACATTGATCGCAACGTTGGCCAACTACATTTGGCTTACAGATACAATACCCGTTATCACAACTCACACTGCCTGCTCTATCACAATATTCGCATACAGTTTTATTACCCGGTGGTGGTGGTGGTGGGTAAGGTTCTGAACCATCATCGCGGCTGCAATCGTATGGAGAACCACCCAAAGCATTGCCTACATAACCAGGCGCACAACGATCACAGAATTCACCGTCAGTGTTGTGTTCACAGTTCTTGATATTAGAAATAATATATATTATAACAGAATTTAAAATATACTTAATATTATATAACAATGTTTACCAAGCACACGCCTGTTTCAGCATCGCATTGATCCGAGTGTCCATTGCATTCACATTTTTCACAAACTCCTAAATAAAGACCTGCTTCACTATCTCGTTTATAACCCGGTGCGCAACGTTCGCATGATAAGCCCACATAACCTCCTGGACATTGACATTCTTCGACTTCAACAGCACGTTGAGTACCGATATTATTTGGAACAGCTATATCCAAAGCAACATGCGTTAATGAGCCATCTTTGGTGCCAGTTGTGTAAGTTGCTTTAATGAAAATACTTTCAATTTTAGAAAGCGCCATAAGTAAATGTTCACGATTAACAACTTGACCATCAGATCTTTGCCAAGCACTTTCAATAATTGGCACGGAGTATGAATTCGGTTGGCTTGGATTAACGCCAGATTTGCGGTAATGTATAATTGTTAAGTCTTCTCCCTAAAAAATAATGTATATATATGGTTGTGAATATACACATCAAGAAAATGTCTAACTTTATTATATGAACTTACACTCTTGATAACCACATCAGGAGCATTATTTCTAGACATCAGACCACCAGGCAGAGGATTGTAGCTTAGATTGTACGCTAATTTGCCACCATAAGCTGAGATTTTATCACCCAAAAATTGTGGTGGTAAACTCCAATACAATGGCTCAGAGCTGGCTTGTTGATTGAATTGTAGAGCACTGTTTGACAATTCAAAACTAACTGGAGATGGATGTGAGGTTTCATAATCGCGAACTAACACGAAACCATGTGGAGCACGAGAAACTCCAAAGTTCGATACAATTTGATCACGATACCAAGAGCTGCTGCTACATTGTTTGGTTAAACCACTGCAGAAGCATTCAATACAACCAGTGAAGGTGAATGAATTCAAATGGAAGGAATCTGGCGCGCATGTATCACAACGTGGTCCAACAACTAATGGTTTGCATTCACATGTGCCATTTTGATGTGGATAATAAGTACCAACTGCATTACAGTTTACTTCTGGAATACGATAACATCTTCCACCTGGTACTAGTGGGTTACCTTGATAACCTTCTGCACAAACTTCACAACGACGACCGGTGTAACCTTCATTACAGTAGCAAGACACTTCACCATCTGGACCTAACTGACAGCCACTGGCGAAGTTATTTGAACCGGTTAGAGGGCATGGGCATTCACGACAGGGTATACCACGACGTGGATCACCATATGTACCTGCTCCGCAAGGTTCAGGTACAAATGGTACACAACGTCCAAGCCAAGGACCACCTGGTTGACGTACAAAGCCAGGTGCGCAAGTTTCACAAGAATCGCCAATATAACCTTTAGGGCAGCTACATTGCTCAACTAAAGAAGCTGGTCCTAAGCCTCGATCTTGTAAACCAGCAGAATCCATAATAATATTCGTTAGTTCAACTTCTCGTTCTGTAGAATCAATGTATCCCAAGCGAATGAGTATGTTATCAACATTAGCCAAAATCATCATAATCTCTTCACGTGTTGCTCTAGCACCATCAGGTTTTTGCCAATTGCCATATGTAAATTGTGCAGAAACTTTATTAGTTGAACTTGCCTGTGGTTGTGTACGAGCGCGGTGAACTAATGTGAAACCATTGCCAGTAATAATAACATCTGGTGATTGTGTTGGACGTCCACTTCCGATGAAATTAACTTCATATTTCAGTGAGCCACCATATGATTTTAATTGATTTCCCATATAGTCGGCAGGTAGTGCTAAATAAGGAGCATCGCGTGCGCCATATGGAACATCCGATGCACGGAACTGCACACCATGATGTAAATTGATAATAGTTGGAGCAGGTGCTTCATTAATAACGATGTTGCTATATGGATTTAGCTCGACATTAACAACACGATGCGAGATAATTGGTGGTTGAATTGCAAAGTTAAATAGATTAGCACTGTGACATGTACTCGAAACACCGAAACAGAAGCAACTAATACAGTCTTCACGACGTCTTGCTAACATGTTAAAGAATCCAGAGGGACAAACATCTGGACGGTCCGGTTCTTCAACAGTTACCAACGTATCTGGTGTAACAAATGTGGATCCTTTGGAGTTTATAATTTCACAAGAGTATGCACCACTATCGCCTACTTCCATGTTGGGACAGTATAAGGTTCCGGTGCCTGCATGGCTTCTCGAAGCACACTTTTCCGGTACATGACCCCAATTTAAACGCCAAATAATTGTTGGTACCGGCACACCAGTTGCCACACAGGTTAAGTTCAAAGGATTTCCAACTTGTAGGTTAATGCGTGGAGGTGGTGGTCTGATTGGTACAGGAACCACTATATTAGAAATTAGAAATGAATACATTATTGATTTCGATAAAAAATAAATATAAATATATAAAAAATTTTAGCCATAAGAATATATAAATGATATATTATTTGATTTATATTTTATAAAATAATTATAATTTAATAATATACTGATAACTATGCTGTTGTCCAGCTACATTTATCATATATAGTCATATATAGCATAATAATTTTTAGGGTGACTTACTGCAACCAATTTCATCGGAGCCATCAACACAGTCATTTGTATCATCACATTGGAAAGATTTAGGTATGCAATGACCGCTGCGGCATTGGAATTCATCATAACGACATGGAGCACCACTTGGTTCAGGATCGCAACTGTCTTCATCGGAATTATCACCACAATCGTTTTCACCATCACAACGCCAGATACGTTCAATACATTTTGAATTACGACACATAAATTGATTTGGTTGACATTTACGTCCATGACTGCAGCTATGCTCATCGGAACCATCGGAACAGTGTGGAATACCATCACATATTTGTGACTTTTCAATACATTCGTTATTCATACAAGTGGCTTGATTAACGCGACAAGCTGATGGTGGACGATCGAGAAGTGGATTATCTAATAGAAATATATTTAAATTATATTAAGTTTTAAAAGATAAAATTTCAAATATAAGCTGTAAATATTATTTACCGATGAAATAAAAGGATCATATAAGAGCAGCATTTATAAGAAAGAGAGATGATGTATATATTTCATAAACATTAATTATCATTGAATTAATTTATTTTAAATTTTTTGTAAATTACCTAAGCCAAAAAATTCAAGGTCTATATGGGGCACAGTGCCATATTTGATTTTTTTTGAAGGAATTTCATATTTATGTACTCCCCAAGCTGCATTTTTGTTTTGTACACAATTAAAACAATTTCAATTAAATAAATTAATTGTGTTTTAATCAATTTTTAATATACTTCTGATATATTCTGATAATATTTTAATATACTTACAACGCTCTACTGTTAGATGTACAGATACTTGTTGTCCAGCTACATGTCGTGGATAGCCAACAGCTTCACATATGTATTTACCAGAATCCTCCATCTGTAATGACGATTTCAGATTAAATTATGTTTATTAGGATATTTCATTTATGTAAATACGTACTCGAATATTTGGTATTTCCAAGCGACCATTTTTGTCAGTAAAACCTGGTGGTAAGGGACGTCCACCAGGTCTGGTCCATTTAACTTTAGCACGTAATGGACCTTCATCACGACAACGGAAGATAACTTCACGACCTGTTTTTTTTTGGAAATAGATTCATTGTTAATAAAAATACATATATATGAATTTTATTACATATGCCACATACAGTGCATTTTTATATACAGAGTGCTATAAATGCACAGACATATATAGATATATATAATAGATTATAATTCTTAATAGTATTCATTGATGTGATTTAATAATTACAACATAAATAATATTTGATTTACATTAACACTGATATTTGTATTCATATTTTATTAATAATATTTATTTTATTGATTATGAATAGTAATTACATTATTTATTTAAATAAATTTATATATTGTAATAAAGAATATTTAATTGAATATTTAATATCTCATTAAAATTATTTAGGTATTATTATAATAATTTACTACAATTTAAAAATGTTTTCAATTTTAAATAAAAAATAAATTATTTTTCTGTATTCTAGCTGATACAAGCTAATATTATTTATCCAGTACTAAAGTAAAAAAATTATTTCGTGAGACCCAATTTAAAATTTGTCTGTATTATTCCAATAAATGGGTTTAAAAAAAAGATAAATGTAAAATATTGTAATAAATTAAAATAAATGGTTTTTTTAATAATAATATTAAATTATTAGAAAGAAAGAAAGAAAAAGTCTTTAAATAAGTTTCATAATTAAATAAATCTTAATTGAAAATAAAAATAAAAGAATGTCAGGTTCAGTTTTAAAGATATTAAAAGAAGGGTCTGTATTAGTCTGTAAGTTTTAGCTATTCGCAGCAACTCACTACATCACAGTTACTGTAAGAAGTGGTCAAATTATTATTCATTAGAAATAGTTATTCTATAGTAGACAAATGAGTTGCATGTTTTTGAGGAAAGGTTATATATCAACGGTAATTACTATATTAGCATAAATTATGCTATATAAGCTTAATTAGGGTATTGAGACTGTTTTCCTAATAAATAAACTGACAGACATGAGAAGTCATGCAGATGGAAGATGATTTTTCTATAAATTAATATATATATTCATATAATCCATATACTCTCTGGAATTTAACTTAGAAATAATTATGTCTGAATAAGATATGTGTGTTGTTCACATCACAAACTTAAAAAAAGAAGAATATATAATGCTGAACTGAAAAAAAATCAAAGAAAGTTATATATTAACAGTTTCTCGTTAAACATCGATATATAATAAGTAGATTGTTAGAGTATAAACTCGTATGACACATCAAAGCTGAATAGTTTTGTTACTACAAAAAAAAAAACTGCTCAAATGGGAATGCATAAGGATAAAATAGTATTAGTGTTAGTCATGGTGTTAGTCAGGGTAACCTACGAATAATCATTATTAAAACTACTGCTATTACTTAAGAAGAATCTGCCAAGTAATACTAACTTTCAATCGGCAGAGTTTGAATTTTATAAGTCATTTATTTTACGCTTCTTTTTCCTAGAAAAGCGGGAGTGATAGAAAGTTCTGGAAATGTTTGAAAGAAACGTTCTTCGAAAACTTTCTGCGCATGAATAATAATTACTATATTGATAATCACTATAATAAATATATAATAATCACTATATTGAGATAAATAAACTAACAAATAAACTGACTTTCTTATGTCATGCAGATGAAAGATAGTGCTTCAGTAAAAAAATATCTGTAGTAGTATATTTACACAAAATTAATTGTGGAAGAAGATAGTTTTATATTTTTTATATGTTATATAGATTTTTAAAAATTTTTGTATATAATATATAATTGATATATAATTAATATATTCATAACCATAATATATTTGATTAATTTCGAAAGTCACACAAGAGATTACATAGGTATTTATAAACGCCATTTATTTACTTTTTCATATATACAAATGCTTTAATTCATAAATACATAGACGATAGTGCTACAGCAGTTTCCACTTAATTGATCCATAAAATAAATTTAAAAATTTTAAAATATTTTTATAGAATTTAGAAATAGTTTAGTTTTAAAACCTATTAATTGAGAATCATTCATATGGAAATAACTGCAGAAAATATTTATATGTGTGTATCAGTTTTATTATTAGATAAATAATATCATTTATAGTAACTGGTGTATTATATAAGCTAACTGTGAAAAATTCATTTTTTATGTATATATATACACTTGCATTAAATATTTTTATATTCACATAACATATTTAAAACTTACCCTCCCTAATATATCCTATGATCAAATGTTATTGCATATGTTATGGGAGTTTTAAGGAATAAAAAAATTATTTTATATTAATATTTTGATTTCATATAGTTCTTAACTATTACCAGTAAAAGTTAAAAGATACTATTATTGTTATTATTGTCAATGTATATAATCTTTCCTAAGAAACCAATTGAACATTGAAGAATTATAATTTTGAGTAATAATTTAATTTGAGTTAATTAATTTAACAAATATTTAAATAAATTTTATTCTCTTTCTATATATAGTCCATTAAAAAATTAAATTTAAAAAGTCTAATATAATGATACTTACTTTCTTTAATAATTTGGCTGTCAGGATAAGTCTTCAAGTTGAGTTGTGGGTTAGAAGATTGTGGTGATTCATCTAATAATATAAAAATGTGATTAATACATTTATAGGGTATTTTTGGTATGAGGTGCTGCTTTTTTTTTTTAAGAATATTTATAAGATTACTTTTAATAATGTAAAAAAATGGAAACAATATTAGTAAATGAGAAATGCAAAAAAGTTTTTATAATGCAAAATGTAAAAAAAAAAATTGTATTATATAAAATATATAAATAAACAATTATATAATGCAATAATGTAAATAAACAAGTGATATACACAAAAAAAATTTAAAGAAATTTTATAATATTAGTCGTTCTGGCATATTAAATATGTATAATACCTAAAATACACATTTTTTAAATAGATATAAAAAAAAAATTTGCAAACTATTTTAAAAAATTTTAAATTCTTAATAATTTAAGAATTATTATTTAAAATAATATTATGTCATTTATATTTATAAATATATTATTTTTTGAATCAATTTATATATCTTCAAAAAAAAAAATTAGAAAAAAAATTAATGCAGTTTTGCAACAAAATTTTTGAATAAATCAATTTTTTTTAAATTTTTTATTTTTTTTTTGTCACATTTTATACAATTCTGTTAAACTTTACCTATAATTAAACTTTTAATTTTCATTATTTGTTATTTATTAAAAGCATTCTTTTTAAAACAATCATTATTAGTTTTCAACCAATTTTTTAAGTTTTAGTAAAATTTTGTTCTGTGCTTAAACATTGCATTGAGGGTGCATTCTTCTAATCCCCACTAACCAAAGGTTACACAAAACTTCCTTGATATTTACAAACTTACTATCGATTTCATTCGTAACTGGACCGCAGTCCAATTCATCGCTTATATCAAGCGGACAATCAACAATGCCATTACAACGTAAGTTGGCTTGAATGCAGGGACCATTTTCACAACGAAACATATTAAAGCCACAGCCCCTATTATATCCTTTAAATTTAAAATACGGATATCTTAAATACTCTATACATATGTGTATATTTACAAGAGAAAATGTTTAAAAATATAAAAACAGAAAAGTTATGATATTGATTTAATTACTATGACATATACACTTAGAAATATTAAATAAAACTAAATTATTATTAATTTATGCACATATTTACACTGAATAGGTATAAAATTCTATGCACATCTAAACGCATATATACTTACTGCAGTATTTCTCATCTGAACTGTCTCTACAATCGGTGTAACCATTACATCTTGTGGCAGCGTTAACACATTCACCATTATCACAACGGAATTGTGATGGTGAGCAATTGCCATAGTTTGGTTCGGAACATTCTTCTTCATCTGAACTATCACGACACTCGGGATAACCATTGCAGTGAGCTGATTCGGGCACACAATCACCATTGCGACAACGGAATTGATTTGAAGCGCAACCTAAATGAGCACATATATATAACAATTAATTATTTGTAATAAAATTAATATATATAATATAAAAGGGGATTATAATTTCATAATATAAGTTTAAAAAAAAATAAAAATATAAATAAAATATATAAAGAGAGTGCGAATTACACATATAACATTTAATAATTAACAATTACAGACATTAATGGAATAAATAAATTATAAATAAATTATATTAAATTAAAGTAATTTAGTTCTATGCTACAAAAAGTGTTAAAATATCGATTTTATAAGAACAAAACATTATAAATTATATTAACCAATGCAGTTTTGTTCATCAGAAAAATCTTTGCAATCGTAGAAACCATCACAACGTTGCGTCTCATTTATGCAATATTGACGATCATAACATAAAAATTCGTTATCCTTGCAGATGGTGCCTCAATTATTTTTAAAATATTTACAAGTAGACGTTTTTGAAAGCGTTAAGTGCAGAAAAGTGTTTATATAAAAAGCAAAAATTAAGATTATACATATAGAAGCAGAAAATTATTATAGAAAAATATTTTAATGTATACGTAATTTACATTAAACTTATATATAAATTGTTTAATAATATAAAAAAAATATTTGTTAATAATTCAATAATATTACATATAACTAAAATACTTTAGCGTAGAAGAAATTAATCTTAATTTATTATTATTATTATTTTTATTTATTTAAATTACTGCACTTAAATATTTGGATTTTTTTAAATACAAAACACAGGTACGGAATAACGTATATGTTAGTCTATTATATTTGTTATATTATAATAATTATGTGTATTTTAAATGTAATGCACATATTTATTATACATATTATTGCTATTTTTATTAACAATAATATAATAAAATTTATTTTTAATGCTTATTTATTTTAATTCGATTACATATAGGAGTGTGTTTTGATTATTTAAAATTGATTTTAATGCTGTCGTTATCACCTTTAACATATATTTTGTATTTTATTTTATTGATTTTAACGGTGTTTTTGTTTCTATAAATTTTCACCTTAATTACACAAAATTTTATATTCTTCTCATTAAAATAGCATTATCCAGCAACCAACAACATTACATTATTCACTTGAAGAATATAAATGTAAAGCATTTTGTGCTGGCCAATATCCAGATTATTATTGTATTAGTTGGCCAAAGTACACCTTCACATCCGATAAAAATTTTCATATATTACTATTTAATCATATAAACAATTTTTAAAAATGTGTTTTTAATTTAATTATAATTTTTACAATTAAATAAAAATATATGTCATAAAGAAAATCATTTAAAAATAATCATAAGAGAAGATTTAGCCAAGTGCATTTAGACAAAATTTTTTAAATTATTTGATCTTACACAGTGAACAGATCAACGAAACATTCAACATCTTACTTAATATGTTATATATACAATTATTATCAGAGAAGTATAAGATTTAATTATCTTAATATGTCGGGTCTATAGCGATTTGATATTTGTGAGAAGTCTCACTTTTAAGTCTATTAACTTCACACAATAGATATTGATATCTAAGTATAATATTAAAAGTGGGTTCGTTCAGTTATACCTATATTCTAAAATAAGGTACTGTTTATATTTATTTGCTTTAAATATAGAATATAGCATTTAAGTTATATTCTTAACAGTTAAGCAATATCTTCTTTAGTTAAATGTATAATTGTCTCATTCTAATACAGAAGTCTAATTTAGATGATATGTTATCAAATAATCAAAATAGGGTTTCGCACGAATGATATTTGAAAAGCTTTATTCGTGCTAAACTGTTAAATTGTTAAAGTGTTAAGAGTGAGTTAAATAACTTGTATGATATGTTATGGCAAGCGAATCATAGTAACTATGATAAGTACTTATTTAGCATTTGTAATAATGATAACATAGAAGTGTGTTCTTGAGAATGTACTTAGAGTGGAAGATTCTGTGTATTTTCTTTGGTTATGCACGAAAACTGTTTGTTCAGTAAGGCAATATATCATTTACTACGAGTAAAGTTGATGTATGTTATATACAATATACCACACAATATATATAAACACCAAAAGTAACTGAATGCAGAAATTGAAAGGGTAACTTTGAAAATAATATAAAATATATATTAATATTGATAAATTTTATAAATAAAACATAATAATAAGTCTATTAATTAGTCTATTAAAATTCTATTAATTCTAGTCTATTAATTAAATCTATTAGTATATTAAGTCTATAAAATAGACTTATGAATTCAACTTTGTTTTGATAGTACTTTCTGTTCTTAAGAATAATCTTTTACAATTATTCAATAAATAAATATTTAATACAGTATTGAATGTAGAAGTAAGTAATATTGAGTACGAAGTGTAAATTTATACAAAATTTTCCAAAAAAAAAGGATTGTAATACCCCAATTTTCAATAAACTTCAGTTATAATGTCTAATGTCATTTTATTTTTAAAATAAAATATAGCGAATTATAAAAATATTATAGTATTTTAAAAGCAACATTTTTAGAATTTATTTTAAAGCTTCAAAAAAAAAAAAATAAAAGAAATTTATTTAAAATTACACGACTACCTAAAACAGTTGTTTGGTCAGCCAAAATTTTTTTAATTAAAAATAATAAAAAAAATTATTAATTTAATTAAAAATTTCATTAATACAATGGGTTTTAGTGGATGCTTACGATCGCCAGTGTCACCTATAACCTAATGCAAATTTTGGTATTAAAATACATAAAATATTTGTTTAAATAAACCTTTAGTATTAAAACGTGATTGTGGCATTAATAAAATTATATTATTGAGTTGGTAATGTACTCTAAAAAATGTTATTATTATTTGAATAGCTGAAAAAATTCAGAAATTGTTAAGTTTAACTAATCTTTTAATTTCTATGGACATAATAATGTTTCGAATAGGCTTAAATGTATACTTACTTTTACATGTATTTATACATACGTAAATATATTATTTGTATTTATTAATTATATATATATATTATTATATATTATATATATATTACTATGTATAAAATAATATAATAATATAATTATTACATTATTATTTATATATACCTATATGTATATATATATATATGTAAAATTGTGTATACTTATATTATTCAAACATTTATGTCTATTTGAAACATTACTATGTCTATAAAAATTATTAATATATATATATATATATTTATATATATTAATATTTAGGGCAACTTATAATTTTCTTGTTTATAATATATTTTTATGTCACATTAAGAAGAAAATATTATATATATTTTTTACATATATTTTCCTAACACATATATTCAATTAAAATAAATTTTTATAAATGCAAAAATTTCTAAAATTTAATATAAATATTTAAAATTCATTTTAAATAATATTATTAAAAATTAATTATATGAAATAAATATATTTCGCTTATTATAGTTTAGGTACAATATATTAAGTGCAATATAAAAAATTTGATCTTACTAAGATGATGTGTGGTAAAGAATTTAAACAGAGCAGTGCAGTGCTGTAAGTTTTACAGTGGAAGAGGTTAGTACTTGAAACATTTGTGCATATAGATAATAATATGTAGTGCTTAATAATACAATTTAAAAAATTTGAATAATAGATATATTGTGCAATTTGAAATTCGTTATTCAAACGTTTTGAAATACAAAATGTAAGTCTTATATCATACATACATAATATTTATAATAATTTAGTATTTTATTTAGCAAAATTATTATAAATATATAATAATTTTGATATTTACAATAAACCTTATTTTTAAATAGTATATAATAGTATATATATTTAATAACATTATTTATGAAACATGTAACTTACAATTCATCTCATCAGAGCCATCATCACAATCGCGTGAACCGTCACAACGTTCGCTTTGTGAGTAACATTTTCCATTCGGGCAGGTATGTTGTGGGCATGGATATGTGGGTGGACGGCGAGTAGGGAAGGGATACAGGGTGCAATTTTGTTCATCGCTACGATCAAGACAATCAGGATAACCATTGCAACGTATAGAAATAGGACGACATTCAGCATCGCAAAAGAATTGATCACTTGAGCAGTCTTCAGGTGTTTGTAAAATGGCGTCTGTATAATGTTCAGGCAAAGCAAATGTTAAAGAAACAATGCAGGAAGAGATAGAGGAAAAGAAAAAAAAATTTTATGAATTAGTTATTATAAAGCATGATTCCAATGTAGAAGATAGTTTAGTTACAAAAGTGTTGATTGTATACACATTGAAAATAAATAATTGTTAAAAATAATAGAATGTGTAACATCGATATTGTATATAGGCTGTGTACGAGTATAAATTATATATATCTTTATGTTTAATAAAGTAAATACAACTATATTTGTAATATAAAGTGTACATTATATTTTATATATAATATGTCTAAACTGTGTAATACAAACCTGTTGTTATAATATATAACATAAAACAATAAAAATAGAAATATAATTAATACATACATATATGATAAGGAATTTTGACTTGTAGTAATTTATAAAACCAGTGGAAGTATTTAAAAATTAAAAACGAAAAAAAAATGTTTTTAATATCATCATTACCCTGTTTCGAACACTGATGTCGCGATTCATCTGAATTGTCTTTGCAATCGGGATTATTATCACATAAAAAGTCCTTGTTAATACATTCAGAATTATCGCATTGCCATTGATCTTCACGACAAGTTTTATTAAATATATTAATATCAATGTGATCATGATCTGCGATTACGATAGTTATCGATAGTTATAAATATCGTTTATGTTGGTTTGTTTTTTTTTTAATTAGTTATATTTTTTATAATTATTTACAAATAATGTTTTAATGCACATATATGTTTTAACGCATGTTGCATTGTTGTCCAGCACCAAACAAAAACATAAAAATGAGTCATTAGGATGGATGATCATATGTCGATATGTTATTCATATGTATGAAAAAAATAAAAATAAAATAGAAAAAATTAGAAACATATAATAAAAAATAATTTAAATAAAGCAAGAAATACGTATCAATTTGTGAGATTTCAAAATTTCCAAAAGAAGATATAATTTAATATTGAAATTTGATTGAAAATAATTGGGAAAATCGTGAGAAAATGAAACTAAAATATTTTGTTTAATTATTAAAATTTTGTTGAATATTTTTTTTATTCATTAAAATATTAACAGTAGTAGATACAGCTCTTTGGAAAATATTATAATAATCGAAGTCACCTAAACAGATATTTGAGTGTCCAAAAAAATTAAAGAGGTGGGCTTAATTGTTATTATTTTCTACCTATTTACTATTTTACTGCTTTTTAGTAGAATCAAAATTTGTGATTACATTATAATAAGTGTATTCACTTTAGAACTATTTGGACGTCTTTTTTTAGCAATATTAATATAAATAAGATTTTATAAAAAATTCCACCCGCAGTTTTTAGAAAAATTTTTTTCACCTATTTCCGTAATATTTAGATAGAAAATTCCACCCTTAGTGTTTAGAAGGACTTTTTTTATGATTTCTTTAAAGCACTTGTATGACTATTTATTCTTACAACTATTTGGCCCTGAAATTCAATCTATTCAAGTATTATTTGATGCATATGTTTTCAGCGATTAGAGTTATGTATGACTGCTAACAAGAGTATATATATTTATATATACTGTTAAGAAAGTATAGGGAATAGATCTCTGAAAAAGCTCTCTTAAAGGTTTATTTACGCAGAATTTGAGTGGCATTTATCTATTGGTTTGCTATATATATACTGTTGAGAAAGTATAGGGTACAGACCTTTGAAAAAGCTTGCTTAAAGGTTTATTTACCTAGAATTTGAACAGCATTTATCTCTTGGTTTGCTTGCAGTGTGATATTTTATCAGAGTATTTGAAATGCAATTTGTGTTTCTTGTAATAAATAAAAATATTGGACAAATATTCTGTCTAAAATTATGTACTGCAAATAGAATGTCTTGTGTCAAAGTATTGAAATATATAAGGCTTAAAGTGAATAGATTTCAAAAAAATATTTGCATATAAGTGGTATAATACATCGGGATATGGTGAAAGATTTATCTGAAATTACGATTCATAAACTCAAAAAAAAAGTTCTTGAAAATCCAACTTTAAGTTTAAGATAAGCAACCGCTCAAATTTCTGTGTATTGGGATTGATTGGGTTTTTTGTTGGCGAAAGTGCATTTCTTCGGAATGAATATATTTTCAAGGTGATATAATAAATTTTGATGAATAATATTTTGAAATAATATATTTCATTGACTAATTCTCGGTACTCTCTGGACATAGTAGTAGGTATATCACATTTATGAAAACAAAGGAATAAAAAAATATCTTTAATAAGTATCAATTCTACAGCAGTAATGTGTATAAAAGTGATTCCTATATGCATATCAATTTGACGTATCGAATAGATAAGACAACAGCTATGAGTTTTATAAAAGATATATATTATATATAATATATATTAAAAGTATTTTACAAAATTTCTACAAAATTTTAGAAATGAATTTATATATTTTACCATCACAATCGCGTTCATCTGAACCATCGGCGCAATCTTCTTTGCCATCACAATGCAAATTCCAATCGACACAAGTGCCATTACATTTGATGGTTAAATTAGGACAATCTTTTATTTAAAAATAAAAATCAACATTTAAAATTCAAAAATAAATAAATTAAATTTTTTATTAACAAATAAACAATGAACATGAATGATATGTTTATATGAAGTGAAGTGATAATATGTTATAATACGAATATCTATTACAACATTAATCGGTTAGTTTTAGGCAAATATAAAACCCTACAATTTTCAAATAAAAATTATATGATTTATTAATTAATAAACATGCTTGAAAAATTTGTGAAAAAAATTTTAATTAATTGATTATAAAAACAATCAGTATCTGTTTTCATTTTAAAAGGACTTACCACAGTTGAGTTCATCACTTGCATCATTGCAATCGTTAAGACCATTGCAACGTAATTTATGTGATATGCATTCTCCGTTGTTGCAACTTTTTTTAACCAAAATTGTTTGATAAAAAATTCAGATATACGATGAAATTGTAAGATGCGTGGTTTTTCCCCAAAGGAAATTGTTTATGCAAATATATGAACGTGTAATTGTGTAATTTTATAATGTTGTGACGAAAATAGTTGTGATGTTGCAATGATATAAGAAGAAAATATGGATTTGTATTCAGTGGTCAAAATTAAAGCCAATTTTATTAATACAATACTACTCATTTGCTTTAGCTTTGAAAATTTTAAAATAATTTTAAAAGTTTAGTTTAGATTTCATTTATAATGAATTTAAGTTAATATGCCTAACTGATTATGATATATTCAGCTGAAGTTAACATGGAGCTTATAATAAACTTACAGTTTGCTGAAGTTTAGTGTACTAATCAATAATTAGTGAAAAAATATTTATAATTAAAGACAGAATGTCTTTAAAGGGAAGCTAAATTGAGTTGATCTCATTTTAAAATAATCATAAGATTGAAGACAAACTTATAAAACTTTGCTTGCATAAAATTACTCATACGCCCAGTAAAAAAAATATGCTCATTGGTAAGACAAACAGATTAATTTATGCAGAAAATTAAATTAATAAAATTTTTCTACTTACTTAATAAATTTAAGTATAAATAATAAATAAAAATTAGAGTAGGAACTGTAATGTTTAAGTAATATAACTATTTATCGTTAGTTATTTGGTTTCGAAATCAATCTTTTGAGAAATTATTTGATACATTATGTTTTCAGCGATTAGAACTATATACGATTGTTAACAAGAGTAAAACTTCAAACTAAAAACAATTGATCTGGCTGAGCATTATTATAATGAGGGTGTAAAAAATATTCTGCATTTTGTTGGAATGATTCCCAGCAGCTAAAAACAGTTCCATTCAAATATCTAGTTTGAACATATTGATAGTAAAGTATATTCAGGCTTAGAACATGACAAAATTAATTTTTTATTAGAGAATCAATTTAAATTTTAGGTAAAACTAAAAATAATGATCAATCTTGGCGTCAGTGCCCCGCTCCGAAGGAAGCTAGTACCCCGTTTATTCCTAAAAATAAAGTCAAATTGTGAACAGTTGTGCTTCTACCTAAAACGTATTGTGGATCGTAAGAATATTTAATTTATTTTTCAAGGAGCGTTGTGAGTATATTTGCAAAAAATAATATTCTAAATGACGAAAATATAAATTTTATATATTTTGTAAAATACCTTTTAGTTAAAATCACAGAACTAAATGTATCAAAATAATGAATCTATTGTAACTGAAAATACAATTATTTTTGTTATTTTAAGAACCTCTGAGTGAAATTTCTAACATTTTACGGTTTTATGTTTGAAAAACATTAGTCTACACAATATATGAAATTCAGTTAGAACCATATAATATAATAATTTAATAAATAAGAGCTTAAGAGCTTAATACTACTCCACTTTATACTACTCATTATAATGTTGTCAATATCAAGAAATATAGTATTATATTTGTTTTATATAAAATTTAAAATAATTTTATTTAAACTAAAGCAAATGAGTTTTTTCATTTAAATTTAAAGAAAAAAAAAACTATGTAACGGAGTAGAAGTATCTTACAGATAAGCACCATCCCGACAGTAGGTGCAATTTCTTTCGTCGGTGGCATCATTACAATCCTTAATGCCATTGCATTGTTGATCGCGTAAAATACAATAATTTTGATCGCATTCAAATTCATTCTCATGACAGTGTTCTGTGAAAAATAATTTTTAATGAAAATTGTAGTGTGAGTGTATGTAAAAATGACTGAAAATTTGTGAAAATTAATGTATATTAATATTAATATTAAAACTAATACTAATATCGTATGTAATAAGCAATTTAGGAAGTCAACTCTTATTGATAAGGAGATTACATATATAAGGATTGGTACTCAAGAAACAGTTTAAGCTTCTATCAATTTTAATCAAGGCAAAAAAGATACATTATTTTATTTTAATTAAAAATAAAATGAATTTCATTGTCCACAAAAAAAAAACAGTGAAGTTAATATAAATTTTTTGGTCATTAAAACAAACAAATCATTAAGAAGAGAAAAAAATACATGAATAAAAAAGAGTGGTTATTAAAACAACAAATTGATAATTAATTAATATTTATATATATTGAGTTTAAATATTAAAACACATCTTAATGTAAGGGAATAAATTGTGATAAATTTATGTGTTTACATTACATTCAAAAAGAGTGTAAAAATATATATATATGGAGTGTAAAAATAATATATACATATATATATATATATATATAATCTATATACTATTTAGTATATTATCTATATATATAGTCATTTGTATTGTATTAGACTATGAGCGTAAAAATAATATATACAATATATAATATATATATATAATCTATATACTATTTAGTATATTATCTATATATATAGTCATTTGTATTGTATTAGACTATGAGCGTCAGTATTAATTCGAAAACGTATAGAGTTGATTTTTTTAATGTAAGAAATTAATAATTAGTTTATAAGACATTTTTAATATTTAAGATTAAATATTCTGGTTAAGAGGAATAGGAATAAACTTATAAACATTTAAGGAAATATTTATTTTGGTGCTTAATATGCTGCAGTTTTTTTTTTAAATACAGGAATTATTACCAAAGAAATTCTTTTTGTAACAAAAATTGGTATAATATTTATAAATATATTGTATATATATAATTATATATATTGAAGTTTAGTTTAATAAAAACTTTTTAATTTTATTAAATAAAATAAAAAAAATTTTGTTATAAGAATGTGCAACAAATTAGATAAATTTAAATTAGTATTAAACCTTATCCAGGTGATACATTTCTCTAATTTTGACATTTTTAATATATTCAAAATATTACAAAATCCTACTGTTGCAATTAGTATAAAGTACGGGACTTTACCTGTAAATGGTGGACAATCTAATTCATCGGTCTCATCATCACAATCTGGATAACCATCGCATTTCTTTTCGATGGGTATGCATTGTGAGTAATCACACTCGAATTCATAGATATCGCATTCATTAAGTGTTGGTTCTTGATCAAAATCTATTGATGAGGTAGTAGCAGTTGATGTTGTTGTGTATGTAGATGTGTTGTTTTATGTAGTATATAGCATGTTGTATATAGATGATGTTTTATGTATATATTGTTGTTTTTTTTGTTGTGAATAATGTGTAGTTGTAAAATGTGAATGAAAATATGTAAAATAAAAAAAATTTAAAGAATTATATTAAATTAATATAATTTATGTTTAATTTATTAGGGTCTATCAATCTATTTTTGTGGTTTATAGAATCGAATTAGGATATTTATCTATATCTCTATGCAGGCTTAGGTAATTTTAAGCTGAACTATTCTATACACATGGAATTGATGTGTTTTATTAATGTTACTGATTTTATATTTTTATACCATAATTTGTATCGTCATAATTTAATGGACAATTTAATTCATCTGAACCATCGCTACAATCGGTTATGCCATTGCAACGCTTATAGCCCGATATGCAGATACCATCGGCGCATTGATATTGCAAACTTAAGCATTCAACACTTGCGCGTGTTTTATTATATTTAGCATGAAAATCTAGATAAGAAAGCGAAATGAAAATGAAAATGATAGAAAATGATGAAAATGAGTGATTGAAAAAAATAATTAATTGAAAATATGAAAAATTAATAGAATTTTTAGTAATAAAATTTGTTATAGATTTTTAGTAATGTAACTGACAGACATTTAGAATGAAGATAGTAGGAGTGAGTAATGTTTAGTTATAATATAGGAAAAAAATAAAAACAAAAATATATAGTATGAAACAATTTAAATAACACTAACAAATTAATGTATTTAATTTGACTTTATTCGATGTTGTTTGATATTGCATTTAAATGGGTTGTATGCCGTTTTTGATATGATTTATAAGCCTAAAGATGAGATACATATACAAATTGAATAGTTGATAGTCTTTGTCAGAAAAAACTAATCACCATATGAAAATAAATGATGTCGACTGACTATATCCGTGAAGTAAGCTATGTCTGTTCGTGTAATTTTATTTTTATGATATATTGTATCAATATTGTTTTCACCTATGGTTTCCCCAATTAATTTATCGTAATTGTTTAAATGTGAATATTAATACATTTACTTTATTCTCAAGAACTTGCTTGAGTGATATTTCGACTATGCAGTAGTAAAAATATGATGAGAAACAAATATTTGGGAATGATAAACAAACTTTTACTGCAATTTTTATAGCAAAGACAAACAGAGCAATTTAAGATTATGTTTATGGCCAATGGAAAAGTGATAACAGAATTGGAAGCAGAATTTCATCACAACAAATTGAAAAATTTTTATCTTAAAATATAGTAAAAGTAACACATAAACGAATTTATCAGGATATGCTATTAACAGTGTTGAATGATTTAAAACCTTTAAGAAGTATAGGTTACCTATCACTATAGATTCAAGCGAAACAAGAGTAGAATTATTATTTACAATTCTTCAATAAAAACCCCTAATAGTCATAAAGATATTAAGAACGGACACTGACTATACTTAGAAAAATATGCTCTAACCACATACTAGTTAAATTGACCTGATAAGTTTGTTAAAGAAATATTACTTCATATGGTAAAGAAGATATGGAAACCAACATGTGGTATGGTTGAACCAACATGATACATCAAGTAAGAATATTTCGATCTGAGATTTAGTTAAAATCTGGTTAAATCAACCAAATTATTTTTCTGAGTGTAGATTAAACAAGCACATCTATTTAAATCCGGCCCTACTTAGGGTACCAGAAGGATCCATAGTGTGAGAGTGATCACACTGATCATCGGTCAGTCGATATTATAATTTCAAAATTTATGGCAGCATTTGCATTTAAGTTTTAGATAAATTTTTTGTTTATGTTGGAATTCAAACGTAATAGTGTGATAAAACCATACGATATTTAAGCAGTAACCATAAGAACTGTTGCTAGAGCCATCAAACCTTTCGATGGAAATAAATGCTTTATAACTGGAAACATATCGAGAATTATAGGGAATTGCAAATAGCAATGGTGATGGTAGGAAGAAGCATAAGCGGTAGAAATGGTTTGGAATATTAAGAATTCAACGAAGTCCATTTCATACTGCTAGGACAAATGATTAATCAACAGTGGACAATGGTTATCGAAAACAATTATGCAACGCAATACTCAAAAACAGTGGAATTGGAAACCTAAAAATTTCTAAAAATTTATTACGAATATGACAAAATTTGTAATCTCTCGAAATGGAAGAAATTGCTCAAATCAACAATTCCTACTTAGAGTGTAGCTTAGATTTAACTAAGAAGGGTAGGAATTTATCACGAATGCCATCTTTTCTTATGAAAAAAGTTGCTCTATTAAACAATTCTCAAATCATCAAAATGATCGGGTTGACATTCGAATAGCTCCTACAATTCAAAAAAGCTCTGTGTAAAAGAAACATGCAGAAACCTTCTTGGAAGGTGGAGCAGGATGGTGTATAAAATAAACCCATTTTTGTTTCTTGGTTTAGATATGTGTAGCGCGTGACTCGTTTGTCGATTGAATCAAAGACATACTTCTCTCGAAAGCAATTATATCGAAAGCAGTAAATGATTTTGAAAAATCGGTCTATTTTCCATCCGTTGGTTTAATACAATTCAATTTTAAATAAAAAAATATACTGTATTTAAAAGTTGCAGTTCAATTGGGTCACTCTATAGGATGAATTTGTTTCTAACAAATATATATGTTATATATACGAAATATAGATATTTCGTACAGCTTTAATTTAAAAAAATTATAACCTTGAATATGTAGTATTTTCAGAAAAACAGTAGATTGCTTAAAATTACAACACGAAAAAAAAGTATATAATCAAAGAATACAAAAGAGACAAAGATTAGTAGACCTAAGTAGTTTAAGAAGTGATTTAAGTGTAACATCGAAATCAGAGTAAATTTTTTTTTGTGATTACTTAACATATTGTTTTGAATACCATGTAACAGAATATTATAGTTTGAAATAGTTTATATATGTTAAATAATTTATAAAATAATAAATTTAAACAAATAATAAAAAGTGCTTAAACGACAACTAATACAGAATAAATTAGTTTAAAAAAAATGTTTACCTTAAAATAAACGTATAGTTAGACATAATAAAAATTACTATAATAAATTATACTATTCTACATAAAGGATAAAAAATTATAAGGCAAAAAAGTTAATAATCTAATAATTAATTAAATTTTACTATTTAGTTTATTAGTTTGTTGCATGCTACATGCGTTTTTCACGACTGCTTAATAGAGTTCAATATTTATAACTATACATTTTTAGTATCAATTTAAACTACATAATTACAGCATGCAACAAATGCAGTTTATTATTAATTTATTTTTAATTAATAAAAATTAAAAAAATTGTACTTACGACATGAGCTTTCATCGCTGCCATCACTGCACTGTGCTCTTCCATCGCAAACTTGCACCCTTGGTATGCAGCCACCGCCACGCAAACATTTAAACTATATTCCCAAAATAATTTATTTCCATAATTGTTAATTTAAATTAATTTTTCATTTTTACATTTAAGTATTTATGCATATTTGTTTAAGATATAAAAATATTTCGTTTATATGTTTGCATGTCGTTCTGGTTTCAATCAATTGGCTTTAACTTACCTTATCACTACTGCAAGTGCATAGAAGATTGTCTTCGTCTTCATGGCGTTCGCAATCGGATATGCCATCACAGACACTCTCTACCGGTATACAATCGCCATTTTGGCAGGCAAACTCAATGTTTTCAAGACAACTATTGCCTAAGATATTTAATTTAAGATATACCTCGTTTTTCTTATGATAGTATTATAGTATGTGTAATGTAAATAATATGTATATTGTAAAGTATTAAGTGATAAACACAAAATTTGAGTAGAAATAAAATTTGTGTATAATTTAATTTTCCATATATGAGTATCTGAGCTACGTTTAAGTAAATTTTGTAATGAGGTTAGTTTTTATTGTGTTAATGAGGTGTTAATTTGTACTTTTTAAATAATATCACTACTTTGGGAGAACGAATTTTTTTTAAATTAAATAATATATATCAACTTGAATAAATAATTAAAAGTCAATAAATCAATTTATTATTTTAACATAGAATTTGATTAAAATTTTTATAAGTGGATATTTATTTTTTTTTAATTTAAAAATTTTAAATTATTGTAAAATTAAATAAAAACTATTAGTTATGAAATGATTAAAATATATAAACTTTCTAGATATAGAAAGATATATAAAGATATACAAACATATTTATATATACGTACGTATGCATATCCTATAATCTGATTTTATATTTATATATACATATAAATATATAAATTCAATAAATATGTACCCACATGTATATTATATATGCATAGGTATTTTAAATTTAACATTTATATGTTTATTATATTATATGTATATCTTTTCAACAGTTTTCAGGCACATAATATGAAAATAATTCAATTACCTTTGTAATGATTATAAAGAATATAGATATCTGTAAGGAATATATTTACATTTTATATGCAAGAGTAAATATTTAGGAAGTCTTTAACAATATCTCTTTATAGTCGTGAGAAAAGCATATTGAACTCTTATCAGGTTATATATGTGAAGTACGTTGAAAACATATAGAAAATTAACATATAAATATTAAATTTAAAATATGTATACATACATATATAATATATGTGTGGGTATATGTTTAATTAGTTTTCATATTAATAAATATAAGTTAAGATATAAGATATGTATACGATTATGTATATATATAATATTTGTATATATATCTATATAAATATAGAATAAGATATAAGATATGTGCATAACATATATCTATATCTTAACGCTTCTTATTTTTAATTTATATATTCAATATTTTATGACCAAACGTTTTTGAATATAGAGTTATTGCAACCTAATTTGTTATTATTGATATATTTGACCAATTAGCCTGTCAAAACACTACACTAAATTTTAATTTATTTAATAATAAAAAAATTATAATAATAATTCATATATAATATTTAAAATTAATATGAGAGATTCAACATAGGTATAGTACTACCAATATATTCTTTTGTGATATATATTATTTATAAAAAAAAAATTCTTTTCTCCAACTACGGCATGCAAATAGTTAATGTCAAATTTAATATTTCTACTAACACATATACTACTAAAATTTTTTAATTAAATTTTAAATTCCAATAAAAACTTCTTATTTTATATGCCCAATGTAGTGTGCAGCTTTGTTTTTGTTACCAATATCTGGAGACACAAATAAAATATCTGAACATACTCGAAATTGTTGTTGTTATTGTAGTTGTTCTCTGGATGGGTCTAGCCGTTGTGGTGCGTACAATTGGTAGAGGTGGTCCCTCGGTAGTTTTAGTATATGCTTCGCAGTTCAACTCATCCGTTAAGTCGTTGCAATGGTAAAAACCATCACAGCGTAAATGTAAGGGTATACAGACATTGTTGCCGCATTTAAATTCTCGTTCGGTACAAGAGTGCCCTTTAGATTTATAATAGATGTTTGGCCGATATTCGGTAAACTCTTTTGAGTCTAACTCATGTAAAATTGATGGTCTTGAAGTTGTTGGTCGTCTATGGTGCGGTGCATATTCACGTATAATTTCATTGTCATCGAAGCGATTTCGTTCAAAATCACGAATATCTTCAGTGTATATTTTGTTCAAATAAATTTTGTATATAATTTATATATTATATATTTGTTTTTATATATAATTTTTTTAATTTTTTTTTTTTTAAAGGAATACCGCATGCATTCCCAAGTGCAATATTAGGTATATTTTAAATTTGTTTTCATTTTATAATAACATGCAATTATTTTTAATTTGTTTATTTTTTGAAAAAAGTGTTTCCAGTCGAATTTCCATATCCAAATTTGATAAAATCGTGCATTTTTTAATTTAAAAAATTTTGTTTTTTTTTGTTTTGAAATTTGTATAACGCAATTGTTGGTTGATAATTATAATTGTAGGATCATAGGAGGTGGTACAGACAAATTTGATGTATATTTTGACCAAAACCACAAAACAGGTATATACGAAATTAAAAAAAAAAGAAAAAAATTCAATTAATAAAAATCAATCAATTAAACAAAATTCAATTACTCTACGCAAAACAGGAAAAGCACACATAAATATTTGCTTAAGCAACATATCTACTTCATCACCAACACCAGATATAAGACATAAAAAATTTTTTCACACTTTATTAGAGAACAAATCAAAATTAGCTAAAAGCCTAAGTCCATAAATTTCTTAATAAATTTTCAAAAACTAAACTTATATCAAAAAACCATCACGAAAATATAATTCAGTCTTAAGTAATTCTATTGTGTATGTTAAAATGTTAGATTTTAAGTTTATTAAATATATAAGTTATTCACAATAATGTTTACTGTTCTATATTAATATATTTAAAATAAAAAATATGCAATGTTTAAATAAACACATAGTAATTTCACATAGGCTAAGGTTGGCTTTTATATTATAAGACGCCTAAAAAGTAGAATAGAGTAAACTATTGACATTGACATTGATGCATTATATGTATATTAGATTGTTCAACAAATTCATTGGGTAAATCTATTTGTTAATAATATAACTTTAACTTCGACGCCGTGTTAATATTCTATCTCTGATAAGACAAAACTAAAATAGAAAGAAAGTGCTGCATTGGGGCACATCTATGTCAACAGTTGAATCCTATTGAATTAACAATAGTTATCGTTAGGATGGTTACTGAAACATGTTTTGCTCTATTTCTTATTTCTTCTCTTAATGTGCAGACTTTAAGCTCTCTATGTAACTGGTATATTAGTAACATTCAGTTATATAGGTTATTAAAATACCAGGGTGCGTTAACACTTATTCTAAGGTCTTTTGACTAGAAACGTTTTAATATTTTCACATTTGAGCTCGCAGTAATTTAAAAACGCTTAATACCGTAAGTCTATATTTATTTTAAAATAGTTTTATAAATAATTATTATAAAATCATAACTAAAAATAATGAAATATTTTATTTTCATCGAAAATTTTCATAGAAAAGTAGTATACACTGAGTACTAAGTTAAATGGCTAATGCATTGCGTTTTTTTTTGTGATTGAATAATATTTTATATAAGCAAAAGTTTATGTTCTTTTGTCGAAATTTGGATAAAACATAATGTAAATTATTTATTTATGTATTTGAGTTTTTTAAATAAATTTATTTTTAAATTTTCTTCTTTAATGGATTGGGGGACATCCATATTTAGAAATGATATTTCGGTCAATATTATTTTATAATATTTTTTATTTAATGAATTTAATTCGTAGTTTCCAAATCTAGAAATACATAGATTTGGAGAAGGCATAACAAGTATTATGTATTTAAATTAATATTTTTCTTTTAATTAAATTCTCTTAAAAGAACTTAATACCTTGGGTTTAGGTGACTGGAGAACCACTCGAAATAAATCGATATATTATATGCATAAACGTACACATATATATTTACATTTAATCCAGTAATACAGTATATCTGTAAAATTCTGGCTACGGGCCTGCTCTATATAAACACATTTTTGGGGATTTATAATAAAAATAATGTTTTTGTCTATTTTAGTTTCTATAAGAGGCTTGTATATTTAATAGATTTAAATTTACTTTCACGAAGAATATTACTCACAGAACATAACAGATAAAAATACTCAATGCTAATAAATATTAAATAACTTTTAACTTTTAAGGAGATTTAGTTTTTGGAAAGATTTATGTCTGAGGAATATATGTCCATATTATTCACATTTTTTAATATTTCTCTTTAAATGATATTATGTTACATTTAAAAATTTTAAGCTTTGAAATTTAGAAATCAGTGAAAAAATTTCAATTTATGTTACTCTTATACTTTATATAAATTACGTAGGGTCTTGAGGGGTTTCAGAACACCCCGAAATGAATCGAGGGACTACATTTATATGTATGCATATTCATCTTTAATATATTAATAAGATTATTATTAATTGCAACAATTTTAATCTAATTCTAATTATTAAATAATTAGATATATATTTTTTGAATTCTGTAAATGATTTGAAAGTCTTTTTATTAGGAAACCTATTTGAAGATTTAATAATAGTTTCATAAAAAATGCACAGATTTGCACAGTTTGACTTCTGTACAACATTAATATATAAAGTTTTTATTTCTCATTGAGAAAATTATATAGAGATCATACCAGTTAACAATATTAGTTGGATTCTATAATAGTCCGAGTTTTTTAAAAAATTTTTACTTTTTAAAGAGTTACTTTTTATATTGAGTTAAGTATTTATTTCTGATAGGATTGCTAATGTAACATAGGTTAACTAATTGGCGCTAAATGTCATATCTATACCCCTAAAAGATTGCTTATAGTACGTGTATTTTCAGAAAATTATGATGTCTTTTATATAAAAGCCATATTAGTATATTTTGTACATTTAAGTTTTATAATAATGTGTTATATTTAGAAAAATATTTATAACTCTTTATAGCTTTCCCCTTAATATTTACTAAAATGTTATAAAGATAGCAAATATTTTAAATATAATATTTTAAAAAATACTTAAGACTTCTCATCATACCTTTCCCTTAATGTTACAAATATAACAAATATTTTTATATTAGCTTTCTAAATAATATAAGGATATTAATAACAAACTACAAACACCTTTGACTTTTAAAGAATTATAAAAAATTTATTATAATAAACTTAGATCTCCCAATACCAACAAAACGTAAAAACATTGATGCTCCAAGAATTCATTTTAATCACACAGAAGCAGCTGGAAAAAAATAACACACAAACTTACCACAATCTTTTTCATCCGAATAATCTGTACAATCATATATATTATCGCACACCTCACGCATAGGTATGCACTGACCATTGTCGCATTGGAACTCATTAAATTGACACCAATCCGCGCCGCCTTATTTAATTGAAGTTAATTGTTTTTAAAAAAGGCAATGTAAGTGTTCGAATGGTTAAAACTATTAAGCATTTAAGGATAATGTGGCAATTGATTGAAAGTAAAAGTGAGAGGATGTATTACGTATGAAAAGATATTGGTTAAAAACGGGTTGGGTGTGATATGTAGTAAAAAGTTGGCATGTCACTTGCTGTAAATATCATAGCAATTGTGGCATTAATAGGGCACAGTAAATTGTATATACGAGTAAATTTATATGAAAAAAAAAATATATTTTAAACAGTTGATAGTTGTGCAGTAATGTAGTAAAATGATTTATCACCCACAATATATTCAACACACGTAATTGTATCTAAAATTTAAACATAAAAATGTACTTCATAAGAGAATGACTAAGTACTAATATATATAAGCACTTTGCATAAAAGTGAAATTGTGACGGAAAGTAAAAAATATATTAAAAAAGACTATAGGAAAATTATATAGTGCATTCATAAAAAAAATATATTTCTAATATATTATAATATAAGCATAAATAGATAGGCATTGCTAATGCAATCTGTTGCTTGTAAAAAGCTTGTAAGCTTCACTTGTAAAAACGTTTTTGAAGGTATAATAAATAAACTAAAATACTGGCAACACTGGCAGTCAAGACATGTGCTATATGAGAGACATACCGACATACCGAACTACCGACATTCAGACAGACACTGATATAGTCAACAATCAGTGTACATATGAGCACTGACACTGACAATCGTTGAGCATTGTTGGGTATGCAAAGTCCAAGTGACCAATATGTGGACACATAAAATGTGTCACAGTGAGCTTTGCTTGCAAATATTGGCAAGAAACATGGTCTGAACGTCACTTAAAATGCAACAATGCAAAAATAATTGTGTTGCGCTTCACGTACCTTCCACGTAAGTAGTCTGCGTTTATATGCGTAAGAGCAAAGGCTTATGGTATACTTTAAAATAGTTTCAAATTACTTTTTCTTAATGTATATAAAAAAAATTCAGTGATGAAAAAATCAAAAAGTAACTATACATATACAAGTATATGCAAAATAATATATAAATGAGAGCAGTTTTTATTTGTAAAAAAATAAAAAAAAAGAATCTTTTGAAAAAGTTGCTCTTCTCTCAACGAAAAATGACATGCTTACTTACCTTGAATTAAAAATTATTAAAAATATATTTTTTTTTATAATAAAGTACGAGTACAATATTATAAAAAAAACTAATCACTATTTCTAACCAAAAAGTGTGTGTGTCATAAATGCTCACCATTTTCACAATGGCGTTCATCGGATATATCTTCAGGACAATCAATATTACCATTACAACGAAATTCTTTGGATATACAAGTGCCATCATCACATTGCCACTTTTCATACAAACAAGCTGCAATATTTTAAAGTATTTGTGTCCATGATGCCGATGCCGATGCCGGTGATAAGATTTATGCCAAGGTAAGCGTGAATAGAAAGAAATTATTGGGAATATGATTTAAATTGTCAATGGGAAAAGTAGAATTAATGTAAGAAATAAAAAAAAACATAGATATAATTTATGAAAGGCACACAAACATACGACATCCTTCCTCATCTGAGCGATCACTCGGACAATCTACACGACCATCACAACGATGTATAATTGATATGCAAGAGAGATCTCGACAAGTGAATTTGCCTTTTGGGCAAAAAAATTTTATTCTTGGCACAACTATAGAATTATTATTAATTTAATTTTTTTTTTTATTTATTAGTTATCAGTAAATGTGTTAAGGCGCAGCATGAAAAGAGTAAAACATAATGAAAAAATGTCATTAAATATGAAATTTTGCTAAATTTATCGGTGAATATGTATAAAGCTATTTTAACAGCAATATGAACTTAATTAGCCTACTGCATACTTACTGCCATCACAATGATCCTCGTCGTCACCATCCGGACAATCCAGATAGCCATCACAGACTTGTGATTCACTTAAACAATGATAACCACTTTTACATTGAAATTCTACTTTGCTACATTCAGTCGCTTTATAATATTAATAGATAGATATTAGTAGTTAGTAGTAGTAGTTTAATGTAATTTATAATATTATTTAGTATTTCATTCATAATTGGTAGTATTGTCGTTGAGCATACAGTTTTGTTAGTAACCCCGCATATGTATATTATGTTTAGCAAGTTTTATTATGTTCATCCAAAATTAGTTCAGTTGGCAGTTAAAAAAATTTTAAGAAAAAATTTTATAATTAGCATTAAGTATTTTCAATAATATATATCTATAGCCTAGTAATAAAAGCATATACTATTACGTCTATTTATTATAAAGTTAATAAATAATTTCTATTGGTAATTTCTATTTCCTATTATTTACAAAATTTACTTAAGTAAATTAAATATTGTCAAATTTATATTAAACTTTTTTTTTAAATAGTTTAGAAAACTAATTAAAAATTATTTTTGTTTTATACAATACAAATACTTCTGTATTAACTTACGACAACTTTCGTCTTCATCATCACCGTCGGGGCAGTCTCTGTATTTATCGCAACGTCTTCTGGCATCAATGCAGTCACCAGATTGACATCTGTATTCGTTGGGTTGACATTCTGTAAGATAATAAATAAATAAAATAATTATTTTCAATTTAAACAATATTTTGATATTAAAATTTTAATAAACAATTTTCAAAATCACCAAAAATACTAATTACATTTTTTTTGGGAGTTCCAAACAGTTTCAAACAGTGAGCTTTTATGTTATAATATTTTCAAAGTAGCATATATCATTAATGAGAACATAGAATATTGAACTTCCATAAACTGTAAGTATGGAAGTTTAAGACCTTCAGGGCTAATTTTACAGTTATAAACTAAGCCTCAAAACTGTATTAAGTCAGCAAAGTTGATGACAAACTTGACTTAAGTTAATTTCTAAAGTTAACTGTGAAATCAGTTCTCAATCTTTCCTATCGAAATCATCTTCAATATTAGCCTTGTGCCCATCATATATCTTAGTTTGTTGATATTTACTTTTAAGATATTTGTATAGTATTTGTATGTATGTTTGTAAGATATTTGTATGGTGTGTTGTTATGTTATATTATTATAGAGGTTTTATTTTTCATATATAATTGAGATAAAAGAAGTACGATTAATGGAGTGAAGGAAATTAAATGTAGAATCAGTTGTCTAGAGCACCAGTAACTATTAAAACTTAAGAAACCATTGATGATAGATATTTGACAATACTTGAAAACAATTGTATGGTCAGTATTAAAATATAAATTTATATACTGAAAATAATTTATAATAAAAATTTTGTTGTTATAATTTACTACTGTTAAAAATACTTATCTATACAAAACGTAGCTTTTATTGAGATGCATGGTTTTTTTGTCATAATGGACTTTAAAACTTGAAAAATTGAAATAATTTCAACTATTTGTTCTGATATATATGTCTTATTTTATTAATATGAATATGACAAAAGAAGTGCAAATAATATCAGGAAGGACATTTAATATTGGCTAGGTTGCCTAGAAGATCAATTTTTATTTTCAAAAAATTTTTTTATTGGAATATAGTTAAAAACAATATCTTATAATGGTGCTGAACATTTCAAGTTGATGCCCAATTTAAAGTTTAAAGTATATCAAGTGTAAAATGTAGTTTGCAACATATCTTGTCTTGTTCTTCTGTACTCTGAAACTTTTATATGATTGTATGTATATTTGTACATATTAAAATTCTTTTCTAAACATATATATAAAAAATTTAATTATTATATTCAAGGAATTTAAAATAGAAATGTTTGACACTTAATAACAAAAATCAAAAAAATATTATGTTATTATATTAATATTATTATTAATAATATTTTATATTATATTATTAAAATATTCTTTAAATTCAAAAAGTATTTGCTTTGAAAGAATTAAAAATCTATTTTAATTACAAAAAAAAATTCAATTATCTGTGATATAAAATTTTTTTGTATATATACAAAATTTGAATCCCTTTAATACTTCAACGTTACTGTCAACATTTTGTAGTCCACGTTAGCTGCGTTAGGTTAATTAAAGTGAAAATTGTCCAACAAAAACAAATGCTAATTTTGTTAAATTTTTTGAATCTTGTTTTTTTTGTAATAAAAAAATTTAATTAGCTTTGACAAAATATCAGTACTACTTTTGATGCTTTGCACTTAACGTAGTAACAATATACTTTCCTTTAAGTAAATTGCGATGATATACAAATGTAATAAATAGCAAGCAAAGAGTACTTAAATTGTTGAAAAAGTTGAGAAGAATATAAATTACAAAGGCAAAATCAAAGCTTTAATTCTTAGGCTTAAAAAACAGAATTCTTCTCTACTTTGAACTTAATTTGACGCTACCGTATTTGTGAGATACTTTATCCACAATGCGACAAGCGTTTGCAATAAGATATGCCAAAGTTCTATGCGAAATTTACGAGTTGGCATGTCATCTAACACAGATAAATTTTGACCGGAAAATGTGGCTAATGATTTCAAAAGGAAAATCTTTGTTACTTGAAGTCCTTAAAGTCCTCAACAAATGCATGCTTATATTTTATTTGTGTATGTGTAAAAGGATATTATGCATGTTCCCAGCGTTTGTAAGTGTGTGTGGCAAGGGTGTTAAATTGCATCCGGTTAAAGTTAATTGCGCACACAAAGTTTTTAATAAATTTCGTACAGAAATCTTTGATGTTTGCTTAAAAAAGATTTTTTCTGTTAGTTTAACCTTTGCTGCTTACAAATAAAAGTTTAAAAATTGTATCTACAACGGCTTCAGTATAATGGCAGCCTCTTAAAAATTGATTGCTTTTAGTTTTTGTATACTAAATTGAGAGGAAAAAAAATTATGCCAAAAGTTGTAAAGGATTATTTTATTGTTTATTTTTTCATATATTTTATTTTTAAATTTTTTTGTGTTTGTATTTTTGATGCTTTTTTTGTTAATTTTGCATGCAACTGCCTTGCTTTCACTGTTTCAGTTGGCGATTGTTGGAGCTTAACTTGCTTACATTTGAGATTTGTTTCAACCTTTCAAACAAAAAAAAAAGGGTAGACGACGGACAGTTTAGCAGAGAGCAATGCGCTACAAAAATTTGTTGTGTAGCAAAGTTGGTTGGTAATCCGGAGGCGATAATGCAATTTGTAAATAATACATCAGCTAAATTGAATTAAGGTTGCAAATATTTTCACATCAAAAATAAAATCAGAGAAACAAAACATACAAACAAAACATAAACAATAAAGACATTTAACAAGAGATAGAAATTGAAAACATAGAAAAGTAAAGAAAGTGCTTAAAGAATACTTTAAAAAGTAATCAAAAACAATGGATAATCGCCTTAAAGTATGCAAATATTTAATGACATATTTTTAATTTTGGATGATTTAACTGTATCATGAATATAAGTCAGTACGCTCTATGCTAAGCGCATATATGTATTGTTTCAAACTATTAAAATGGTTTAAGTTGTGGTTTATGTTATTCTTAAAGATGTGAGAATCATAAAAAGTTCCAGTCTGAAACCCAAAACCACTAAAAATAAACAGTTAGGACTATCTAGAGAATTAGATTTTTGCAGGCGGTCTGTAAATGATCAATTACGAAAGATCATTTTAGTTATAAATGAGAAAGATAATAAAATTTAAAGGCATATATGTACAAAGATATATATTGATAGAAGATCTCATATAATTTTAGTTAGTGCCAGACTTTACAATTTAACCTAGTTTTTAAAAAACTAATGCGACAATTTTTGTAAAATTTTGCGTCCCATCTTTAAAAGATAAATAGATAAATGAGATAAATTGATTTACAGTTGCTTTAAAGCATTTTCATTATTGTAGAATTATCTGTATGATATTTTATTATTTTAAATAACTTTTCACTTCAATAATTGTATATTATTGTGGGAACCTATACTTATAGTATATACTTACATACTTATAGTGTGTGAATAACAAAATTGCGGTAAGAGTATCTTACTTATTTAAATTATAATTATCTTATTTTTTAATATTTGTATACTGCCTAAAAATTAGCTTTTGGCCTTATTTACACATATAATTAAAGAAAAAATTATAAATTATAAAATTACTAGTAAAAGGGATCATGTCACGCTAGAATCAGACTTCGGTACTTATCAACTGCTTACCCACTTATAACGGAAATATAATGCCAACATCTCTTCAAGGAACAAAATGGTATTTTTAGCCAACGGAACTAAAAAGGGGGTTTGTCACAATAATTCTTAAATGTTGCATTGACGTGGCGATATAGCCCTCAGTCACTTTTTAATCTAATCTCATGTAAGGCTTGATTCAGTGCGTATAGATCTAATTTGGTTAGAGAATAAAACTCTGTTCGAAATTACTTTATGGAAGTGTTTTTATATATTCAATTGCACAATGAGATAAAGAAATTAAAATCTACCATCTCAGAGAAATAGGTAGCAATATATTCAGGCGGCTTGATTCTAAGAGCCAAAAGGTAATGAGAAGTTAGCTGCTCAATTTGAAGCAGCTAATTAACTAAGAAGTTAAGTTATTATATTTAGTTATATATTTGTGGGCAAGGCTCTATTTCTTTCTAATTCTCTTTTGAATTTCTGAAAAATTTATAAGGAATCAGATGCCTTTAATCGCTCAATTTGACAGAAACTGATAGAAGATCGGATTGGGGCAGCATAACATATAATAGGAGATGTAAGCAAAATATGGCAAAGTTTAGCTTTGAGTTTAAGTAAGGTGTGCCAAATTAAATGTCTCAATTATTATATGGATCAGAATTGTGTTTTATTTAACAGGAACTGATAGAACATCGGATTGAGGTAGCATAACAAGTAATGGAGGGAATGAGTGGCAAAGAAGTTTGGCTTTGAGTTTAAGTAGGTTGTGCCAAATTAAATACATCATTTAATATGGGGACCAAAATTGTACTTTATGTAATTTTCCAGAAATGTATATATATATATATATATATTAATAATAAAAATAACATATGAAATATAGTAACAAAAAGTTTATATTTAAATTATTTTAAAAAATTTAATAAATGGAAAACAAAAGTTCTCAATGAAGTTAAAAACTGTGTGCAACATGTAGTTGCATGTTGCGGTTCTTACCAAAAGTATTGAAGGTATTTGGCTAACCCTTGTCAATAGTTTTCAAATGCTATTCTGGATTGTTGAAACGGTACCATATTTGCAATGATTTTTTCTAGTAACATTTTTTCAATACTTTTTGTTACGGAGAAAAAATCGTGTTTAAAGGCGATAGAATGCCATAGAGTGTTACGTTTAAATTTGAAATTCAATTTTTTTTATAACTGCAGTCGAGGTTTAATACTCGGTATTTTTATTTTATCAAACACAAGTTCAGAATCAATTTCTACAAAAACTAAAACAAAAAATAAATAAATAAAAAGGTAAGTAGCGAAGGGCATATGCTTAATCCGACAATGAAGCCAATTCGGAGATGTTGTAATTTTGGCTGTCAATTACAAGATTTTTTATGCATTGAATATTTACAATGCTTTCTTGTTATCCTTTTCGAAGAGAATATAAGTAAA